GACTCGGATGATAACTTGAGTTCTTTGACCACAAACAGTCCTTGCTCCAATCTTTGTGTTTAGAAAACCAATGTCTTCCACGTCAATTCCTAGAATCCACGAAGACGTGTGTGTGGGCACACATGAGACACAACGGGTTACAATAAACACTCAAATTCGCTGATGCCTTAAGTAGGAAGAAGGTGGCCAGTTTGGCTACTTTGCCTCGAATACCAGGGCCGTTGAGAAATGATTTGAATAAATTGGAAATAGAGTTTGTGGTGGGACAATTATCTACGTTGTCTTTGGAACCGATTATCAGGGAAGAGATTAAAAGTAAACAACATTTAGATCCCCTAATTGAACAATTGAAGCATGAAGTCATAAAGGATATGCGTCTGAATTTTCAAATCTCGGAGGATGGTTGGGATTTAAAGGTCGGTTGTGTGTTCCCGACGATGAAGGAATTAAACGACAAATTTTGTATGAAGCTCATAATATGCCATATTCGGTGCATCCTGGTACAACAAAAATGTATCAAGACCTGAGGAATTACTTTTGGTGGCTTGGAATGAAGAAGGATGTGGTGGAGTATGTTGCTAAATGTTTAACTTGTCAACAAGTGAAAGCTGAGCACCAAAAACCCGGTGGATTGCTGCAACCGCTGAAGATTCCAGAATGGAAGTGGGAACAGATTGTCATGGATTTTGTTTCAGGATTACCGAGGACTGTGAAGGGACATGATTCAATTTGGGTCATAGTGGATAGAATGACCAAATCGGCTCACTTCCTACCAGTGAGAACAACTTATACAGTTGATAAGCTAGCAGAGATATACATACAAGAGATAGTGAGACTACATGGAGTCCCACTTTCCATAGTTTCAGACAGAGATAGCAGATTTACATTGACATTCTGGAAGAAGTTACAAGAAGGCCTTGGGACAAGATTGAAGTTTGGTACCGCAATGCATCCTCAGACAGACGGTCAAACGGAACGTACTAATCAGACCATGGAAGACATGTTAAGAGCTTGCGTGTTAGACTTCCAGGGATCGTGGAGTAGATATCTTCCTCTGATTGAGTTTTCTTATAATAACAGCTACCAGAAGTCTATCAAAGCTGCTCCGTATGAAGTTTTGTATGGTCGTAGATGTCGTTCACCGATACACTGACATGAAGCAGGAGAACGCAGATATTTTGGTCCAGAACTTGTGGACCAAGCCAATGAAGCTATCAAGAAAATCAAAAAAAGATTGAAAGTCTCTCAAGATCGACAAAAGAAGTATGCAGATAGAAGACGACGACCACTGGAATTTGAAATAGGCGACAACGTATTTCTAAAAGTTGCACCAGTCCGGGGAGTAATGAGATTTGGAATGAAGGGTAAATTAAGCCCTAGGTACATTGGGCCCTTTGAGATTATTGAGCGCATAGGAAAAACTGCATATAGACTAGCCCTTCCACCGAGGCTGTCTGGAGTGCACGATGTGTTCCATGTGTCCATGCTACGGAAATATTTGTGGGAACCATCTCATGTGTTGAGTTATGAAACGATAGATGTGGATCCAGAACTATCTTATCAAGAACAACCTATAAAAATTCTAGACAGAAGAGAGAAGGAGTTGCGGAATAAGATCATCCCACTTGTGAAGGTCCTTTGGAGGAATCATGCAGTCGAAGAAGCAACTTGGAGTTGGAAGAGGATATGAGGAAGAACTTCCCAGCTTTGTTTTAAGTTTCGAGGACGAAACTTTTGTATGTTATAGGGAATTGTAACGTCCCAATTTTCAGACTTAAACTTTTGTGCTAATTTTGTATGAAGGAATTATAAGAGAAATGATAAAAGAGTTTAAGGATCAAATTGCAAGGCTTTAGAGGGCATGATTGAAAGAATTTTCATAGTTGGGGGCCATATTGCAATATTAAGAGTAAAAAAAATAAAAATAAAAATAAAAATAAAAAAGAGGGCCAGCTGCCCTTTCACGTGGCATGGCTGGAACCTCAGCCATGCCACTCATCTCCCTTCTCTGGCCATGTTGAGGTGGGGGAAGGAGTAACATAGGAAAGAAAAAAAAAATTTTGACTTGTTCAATCTCTCCCAAAACCTCAACTCCATTTGATGTTTTTCACTCTTCCTTTCTCATTCCCCCATCCGACTCTCTCTCTCCCTCGATCTCCCTTCCAGGAAAAAAAAAAGAAAAGAAGAGCCTTGATTTGGTTAGAAAACAAATGGCTTTCTTCAAAATTCCATAGGTAATCCGGTTTTGGGATTGATTGTGTAGAAGCTTGAAGTATTGAAGGTGGTTTTCCAAGATCAAAGAGGTATGAGACTTTGATTTCATTTATCCTTTGTCTCCAAATCCAGTTTTTGGTTCAAATTTC